ATTGCAAAATAAAAAGAATACTACAGAAAGAAAACTTTAAAAAATGTGAGCCACTATCTTTTTCTTACTAAAATGCAGCCAAAATAGAAGACAAAGCAATGTATGAAGAGAGGACATGCTTCTGCAGCTCCTGAATTATCATATGATCCAGTCGGGTCCTTTCTAGTAACCTTGTTCTCCCGTCCAGACTTTGGTGGCATTCCACCTGACCATTTCTGCCTCTCTTGGTCCTCCAGGGTTAACCTTTGTCTCTGCTCTTACAGTGAAAGCTAAATGGCAGAAGATATTTTCTAATGCACTTAGATAATTCTCTTTTGGAGATTTAAAAACTGGTAAATAGCAAGCTTGGCTTCTGAGGAAAAATAGATAACAGTATACTCTTCTACTGCCAGTTTCTTCCTGTGGTAGTGAGACCTTATTTATCCTCTCAGATTGTGTCTGCATATCCTGTGCATCTTGCTCACTGCTTGTGGGCCCAAACTGAATCTTTGACTCATCCTTGGTAGAGAAAAATAATAGTTAAGTAGCCTAGATAAAGAACTCCATTATTGCCTTTGACAAGAAGTGAGAAAAGAAAGTGGCTTTTTCTGAGGCAAGTTTGATGTACTTGTTTTAGAAAAGAAAAAGTCATTATCTATATATTTTAAGATTTTAGTTGTCAGCTACCTATGGCGAGCTTGTATTTTGTGTGTTGTTTGTGTAGTGAGGTCTGATTTCTATTTTGTTATGCCCAGAAATTGGCTGTTGCTTTATTTTCTTTTTTGCTTTCTGTCTTTCCATGTGGAGAGAGATATCGGAGGGACTGAAACATGTTAATGAGGAAAGCATTAATTGGTGATAAGGATATGAGTAATCTTTGTTTTCATTTCTCACTACAAGTACAGTTTTATTTTATTGTATCCACATGAATATATTCTTGTTTAGAAGGAAAAACTGTTCAATTCTGTCAAAGCTATTCCTGATACTGAAATCCAGGAACTAGTATCGTTGTGCCATCTTCTTTATTTTTTAATAAAAATTCTTGTTTAATTGAAGTCTTGTTGCTTCTGTTGTGTGAATCCTGAAGCCACATTGGCTATTATGGAAATACATAATCTAGAGCAGACTAATTAGATGTTTGTACATTAACAATTATTCACTATTGGACAATGTGATTTCTTGAAAAGGTTGTTAAAAATGTGTCTAAATAACACAGTGCAATAAAGCTGGGCTTTTGGGTTTTTTAATAGAACAGCTGATATGTCATCAGTTGAGTACAAAGGTTAGAGTTTATGAACACAGTTCTAATAAATTGGAATGTATCAAAACTTGCATTAAACACATTATATGACTTTTGGATGCTTCCTTAAAAGCATTTTTATATCCTGAATGCATCCTCTCCAAGACCTGCACTTACTTTTCTTTTTATGTGCAGTTTACAAGGATGTAAAGTTTACATGCATGTTGTTCTCCCATCCTTTCCTCCATCCTCTCCCTTGCTACCACTATCCCTTTTTTGCCACCAGCTGAGGTCTGTCTGCTGAGCTGCTTCTGTGAGAGCTCAATAAATCAGTTCAGTCAGCTGAGACACGTTAACTTAGGGATTTTATATACTAGGTCTTGGCTAACCAGTGAAAACTGAGCCAGAACTGGGTTACAGAGTGATCATGTGAGCAGCTCCTCTGGAGTCCTGAGGATTTGGTAACAAATAGCAGCGAAACTGAAGCACAATTAGGGCATTTGCCTATGTCCTGCCCAAGAAGCAACTAGAGTCATAATGAGCAGCTGCAGCCTTGTACCTAGTCATAAAAGTATTCTGAGACTTCGGGTTGAAATCTAATTTTCATCTGGAAATTTTATACATATAGTATAGCAATTCTATGCTAAGAACAAAACAAAACAAACAAACAAATAGACAAAAACATTTCTGGAACAAAAGTTTGGAGCAAGAATTTATGCCTAGATACTAGTGTAAGGGGCATCACTTCTTCGACAGGGTAACTAATGAGTCCATGGCATTAAGTATTTTGTGTGCTAGTGCACATCCTTCTGCAACACTCTAGCAGGCAGATACTGTTAGACAGTGGCAGCTTCCCACTTGTTGACAAGGACTATGCAGGAAATTGCCTGCAGGATACTGGTGAGGGAGGTTGAAAGGCAGACGCTAGATTAGGGGAAAATGTGTAAGCAGAGCAGAATGAGCAAACTGTAGCCAAGAGGCAGTCTAGCAGCCTAAGAAGTCAGGGCCAACTGGGAGAAAATTAAAAAGAGGTCAAAGAGTGCTCTCATATGAGCACTCATATTCCTGGCTAAAATCACCAGGAAAGCTTTGGTTCCTTACCGGTCACTGTGTTTCTTCCCAGTGGTACCACGAACGTTCACATGAGACATCATTTGATGCACGACGACTGGATTTCCCATTCATTTTTCCAACGTTAGTGTGTTAAAATAACACGCTTATCTTGAATTTTTGAATAAAATTTTCAGACCCCCAAATTCATCACATAAGTTGTTCAATAAATGCTTTCAATAAATAAATTTGCAAAAATAATGAAAGTTTTTGGGTAACTTGCAAACAGAGAGAGAGGGCTTTCTCTGTTTACTAAGTTACATGTTACAAATGATCTCTAGCTTGTCTTATAAAAAGCCACTTGATTGACAACTGTTCATGTTTCACACTGTTTTTTGACAAAACAGATAAAGGCCATAATTTTACCCGCCAAAAATAATTTTCATTGTAATTGTGTTAGAAAACTTTGCGGAAAACTAAATGTCTCAAGAGTTACTAGACTGTTTTCTTTTAAAATAACCTAAGGACTACCCAAAGGGTTTTCTTTCAGAGCAAACTATAGATTTGGGTTACTAAGGAAATATTTAGCGACCATGAATATGAAAAAGTGCATTTGTTTCCTCTCAGAATAAAATAAAAAGCAGTCACACTTCACCATGACCCCATTATCCAAAAAAAGCCTCTGCCCCCCCCCCCCCCAACTAGCTTCTTTCCCTGCAACTCTACGAGAAATTTTCACACGGAAATACCAACCAGGGAGCTTTTAACTGTGTAAATAACTAGCATTTCTGTCAGCATCAGGAAATGCTGTTCAGGTGCCTTTCATAAATCTTGCTAGAAATCACAGGAAAAGCACAGAACAGAAGTTAAGGCCCATTGCTGATTTGGAACTGAAATGAAAGCCTTGTGTTAATGTCAGCTCCAGCTGAACTGCCTTCTTGCAGTACCAGGCCAGCCACTTTGTGTAGGGCCTAATCAATCCCGTTCCAGTCCAGGCAGTTCTAAAGCATATTTTTTGCCAGCTGTGTGCTAACAGCTTGATAGGAACGATGCCTTAATGATGTTCATACTGTCATTTTACTAGTTGCTACTGACAAGAGAAAAAATGTTGCCATCTGGATCTCTCCACTGCTCAACAGAACAAGCACTTTCTGTTTTCCTAGTTTTAGAACTCTGACATGGTAAATTGTTTTTTTGTTTCTTTTTAATCAGTCTTACTTACTATAGGATTTTGCTGGATTACGTTTTGCAATTATATTTAGTGACAGTATAGTTGCATTAAGTATTGCAATGCACTGTAATATAAACAACAAGCTAAATACATAACTATAAACATTTTAAGACATGAAGCCATAATGAAAACTAATTGCAAAAGAAAGCCGATGGACTGCCTACATGTTATATCTATTTAATGTCAAATTCTCTTTACTTGGTAGTGGAATGCCACATCCATATTTAAAATTTGAAGTATTGGCAAAATTTTCAAAGCATTTATAGCTATCCCTTTGGAAAAATAAAAGAAAGCATGTTATGCTGCAGGTATGAAAATGAAACAACTCATCAATTTAGCAAAAATTTGACTAGAGAATATGCATTCTCCAACCTTCAGGAGGCTCGCTGCTTCTCTCACTCAGGAAGAAATCCTCACCACACTAAAGTCAGTGAGAGACTTCCACTGACTTTATTGGGCAGCTCCTAAGAGATTGACAGGACTAGCGTCATGCTTTAAAATTAAGCTTATGCACATGCATTCACAAAATAGGAATCTTAACTGCAGAAAGGCTTAAAGCAACTGTTCTAAGGGAGGCAAGAGATCCAGACAGAATATGCTATAGTTGGAGATTAATGTGTTTCTAACGAAAAATCTAATTTTAATAGAAGGTGATGCCTTCATAAACTTTTTTCCTCAGAATGTCAAAAATCTCAGATTTTTCAACTATCACAAAACAGTTACTTAGAAAGGCAGTTAGAATGCTGATTCAATTAAAGTGCAGTTTCTGAGTCAGTATTTGCTCTGAAAATACTCCCAAATGTTTATTATCGACTTAAAAGCATAAGTAAACCTTTGACTTTGTACCATCTCTTTAATCTTTCACAGTATTTAAAAAAAAAAGTTTCTAGTATCTGTAATTACTTACCAAAATAAAGGACTATTTTTGGGTGGCAGTTTTGTTTGTAGATTTTTTATTAAAAAAAAAATCTGTTAATGCTATTGTCAATACATGTATAATAACACTTAATAAAGTATCATGTAGTAGTAGGTATTTTGGATTCAGGAATGTTATGGTTTTAACTAAATTATCAGAGCTCTGTTCTGCTCCAGTCTCTTCTAAATTGTCATTTTTCCAGAATTTAAACAAACTCATTCTTTGTCAAGGTACGTCATCCTTAAGGCCTTGCAAACTTTTTAAGAGTAACTGAACCAAAACAAAGAGAGAGCTCAGCTTTCCTGAACTGAAGACCACGTTGCTCTGGAGCTTAAAAAAGGTGCTTGTCGTTCTCTAGCAGTTAGTGGCATATCAGCAAGAAAGAAATCAGAGAAGAAGGGGCACTTGGAAATCAAAACAGTAAAGTGCACAATTATACTGTCCAAAATTGTATTAAACTGATCCGAAAAACTTACTGGACTGTGGATATTTAATACAATTTGGCTTGCATGGAACATACAATCACAATCAGACTGAAAGGATTTTCTTTTTTCCTGCTG